CAACCAGTTATTATTATTATTATTAAATATTACAGTAATTCAATTGTTCTAATTGTATAAAATATTTTAACAACAATATTATTATTATTAAAATTGATTTATATTTTACTGTAGTTTTTCCATCATTTTAATTATTTAATTTGAATAATAAAAATAAATATATTTAACAACAACTATTGTTGTTATTATTAACTATTTGATTTTTCATTTTACAGTACAATAGTATTTTATTATAGTAACTTGTTAAATATTTTATATTAATTAAAATAAAATAAAAATTCATTATTATTATTATTATTAAATGCTTGTTTTTTATATAATAATTTTATATATTTTTAATAATTATCATTTTTATATATATATATATATATATATATATATATATTAACAACAACTTTTATTATTATTAAATATTTACCTTTTATTTTACAGTACTATATATATATATATATATAGAGAGAGAGATTTAAAAAAATTATAATGTAAATATTTTGACAAACTATCATTATTAAATATTTGATTTTTTTTTACAGTGCAATCATATTTTTATTATAGTATTACATAAATATAGTTATATATGGTACATATATTTTAAAAACATTTTTATTGTTATTGTTGCTTTTGTGGGATTTATTTTCACCCATTTTATCCTCCAGCATGTGAAAGCTGTGCATCTGATCACTTACTGTAGTAAAGTAATTAGTACTAGTGATATGTGAGATAGTTGAGGATCATAATCAAAAACCAATATGAGCTCATATGTTAATGTGGAATTATTGATAAAGTGTTAAGATGGATTATCAGTCAGATATGGAGATATGGCTGTACAAATGATAAATTACACTCGTTCTTGCAGCAATAATGTAATTACCATTTTCCCAGAAGTGAAATGCCTGTTGTAATGGCGAATGGCCTTGAATGGTTTGTAGTATTAATCCTCATCACATGGGTGTAGCTCCAGGCAATGTCTCCGCTTCCCAGTTTAATCAGATCCGGCCTTGAGATTGGATCTTTATTTCAAGGCTATAATGAAAGAACAAGCTCTGTTTACATTGATAGTCCTCAAACATTCAGGTTTTATTATGATCTTTGGCTACAAACATCTTAATCTTCTGATGCAGCATTTCATTGACAAAGAACTGAAGACTGAACCCTAAACGCACATGAAACTTTCACCCTGATCTTTCCCTGTAGTGCCAGCGCTGCTCTTTCCTTCAGGTCTGTCTGTGTTAGCGGAGGATTGTCGATATTCCAGGTGTGTATTGATCGTGTTTTCGTTCTGCAGATTAGGCCCTCGGCGTTCCTGCTCTTCTCAGCTCAAAGCTGACCCTCCTTTTTGTCCTGTTGTGTTTCTTCATCCTGCATATCTGACTGGAGCCCGTCTTCTCTCTCTCTCTCTCTCTCTCTCTCAATTCAATTCAATTCAATTCAAAATTGCTTTATTGGCATGACTGTACACAATACAATATTGCCAAAGCTTGGAATACATAAAGACATCAAAATAATAAAATATTATAATATGACTTAAATCTAAATGTACAAATTAAATTGATTGTACAAATTAACAGTGTACCAAATAAAAATAAATACATAAATAATAATAATAATAATTAGAACAGTTTATGAACATTTCAAAAATTCTCTGAACAATTTAGAATTCAGTGTGTGTGTGTGTGTGTGTGGGCGCATCACTGATTAGTCGTCGACTCTCTCTTTTTGTGACAAGCATCAATGTATCTTGCTGCTAATATGATACAATCTGTTTTTTCTCCTAATAGGTGTTGAAATTGTGTTTTGTTGTCTAATTGTAGGAAGTTAGGGCAAAGTATCTCAAATTTTGTATAGAAAGTCCCTCTAATGTCCTCATAGTTGGGGCAGCGGGTGAGGAAGTGTTGCTCGGTCTCCACTTCTCCCTGCTCACAGTACGGGCAGACGCGTCTCTCTCTGGGCCGCCAGTTCTGTCGGTGTCGGCCCGTCTCCACAGTCAGGGTGTGATTGCTCAGTCTGTACCTCGGCCCGTCTCCACAGTCAGGGTGTGATTGCTCAGTCTGTACCTCGTCATCCTTCTTCTTAGTGTACAGTCTTTCACTGTACTCAGGTACTCTGCGGTGGTGTATTCTCTATTTAGGGCCAAATAACATTCTAGTTTGCTTTGTTTTTCTGTTGATTGAGTCCAATAGGTCAGGTAATTCTCCTGTTGTGCTTTGATCATGTGGTTGGGCCGGATTGTGTGGATGAGGGTGTGTGTGTCCTGAGGCGGATCACTGTTAGTGGTGTTAGTGTGTGTGTGGAGCCTCAGGACCAGCTGAAGGAGGGCGCTCTTCTCAGTGTTCATTTCATGGTTTTTAAGGGCTTTAAAATGATAAGAGTTGGGGTCACTCATCTTTAGATGTTTCCAAAATTTGATGGCTCGTTTCTGAACGTGTATTAGTAGAGGGTATTGGCCTAATTCTGCCCTGCATGCGTTGTTCGGTGTGTTCCTCTGCACTCCCAGGATACTCTTACAGAACTCGGCATGCAGGGTTTCAATCGGATTTTTGTCCCATTTGTCGAATTCATGATTTAGGAGAGGACCCCAAACTTCACTGCCATATAATGCAATTGGTTCTATGACTGATTGGAATATTTTGAGCCAGATTCTGATTGGTATTTCAATTTGGATGGATTTTTTGATGGCATAGAAGGCCCTTCTTGCTTTCTCTTTCAGTTCATTCACGGCCAAATTTAGGTTTCCAGTTGCACTTATGTTCAGCCCGAGGTATGTGTAGCTGGTGACATGATCAATTTTGGTCTCTCTCTCTCTCTCTCTCTCTCTCTCTCTCTCTCTCTCTCTCTCTCTCTCTCTCTCTCTCTCTCTCTCTCTCTCTCTCTCTCTCTCCCTCTCTCTCTCTCTCTCTCTCTCTCTCTCTCATTATTATTATTTTAAGGATGTGCGGTCGGTCAACTCTCAGCCTCTCTCTCTCTGTAGTCCAGTGCTGTGGGCCGTATAGCCTCAATAAGGCTCTTAGTCAGGTTTTATAGATTTGGTTATATTGCATGTTGGACTATTTGCTGTGTAAAAACTTATATCTGTCTGTCTGTCTGTCTGTCTGTTTCTCTATCTGTCTGTCTCTCTGTCTGTGTCTGTCTGTGTCTGTCTGTCTCTCTGTCTGTGTCTGTCTGTCTGTCTGTCTGTTTCTCTATCTGTCTGTCTCTCTGTCTGTGTCTGTCTGTGTCTGTCTGTCTCTCTGTCTGTGTCTGTCTGTGTCTCTCTGTCTGTTTCTCTATCTGTCTGTCTGTGTCTGTCTGTTTCTCTGTCTGTCTGTTTCTCCATCTATCTGTCTGTCTTTCTGTCTGTCTGTTTCTCTATCTATCTGTCTGTCTCTCTGTCTGTGTCTGTCTGTGTCTGTCTGTCTCTCTGTCTGTTTCTCTATCTGTCTGTCTGTCTCTGTCTGTGTCTGTCTGTCTGTTTCTCTATCTATCTGTCTGTCTCTCTGTCTGTGTCTGTCTGTGTCTGTCTGTCTCTCTGTCTGTTTCTCTATCTGTCTGTCTGTCTCTGTCTGTTTCTCCATCTATCTGTCTGTCTTTCTGTCTGTCTGTTTCTCTATCTATCTGTCTGTCTCTCTGTCTGTGTCTGTCTGTGTCTGTCTGTCTCTCTGTCTGTTTCTCTATCTGTCTGTCTGTCTCTGTCTGTGTCTGTCTGTCTGTTTCTCTATCTATCTGTCTGTCTGTTTCTCTATCTGTCTGTCTGTCTCTGTCTGTGTCTGTCTGTCTGTTTCTCTATCTGTCTGTCTGTCTGTCTGTCTGTCTGTCTGTTTCTCTATCTGTCTCTCTGTCTGTCTGTTTCTCTATCTGTAAATATCATCATATATATTTGTTTAATTTTATTGATGAATTTATTATTAAGTTATTATTTTATGTCATTGCCCAATAATAAATATAATAGTTAATATTTAATATATATATATATATATTATATATCACTGTTGTTGAATGTAAATATTTCTGTAAGAGCAAACAATTTAATAAACATAAATATTAAAATTATCATAAATTCATGTATTATCATTGAACTATAATCATATCTATTTATCTGTATTGCAAATCAATAGTTCTGTCAGAGCAAGTTTTAACCCGAAAAATATTAATATCAACAAACTATATACATATATGTGTGTGTGTGTTTTGTTTATCAATGTTGTATACCAGTGATTCTGTATTTGCTGATTTCCCCCTTGTTTACAAGTCTTTCCTCACTCCTGTAGATCATTCTGTCTGGAATATAATGTTAATGTGATTGTGGGATGTTTCTCTTGAAGTGAGCAGTTAAGCGCTCCCTTGATGGCCATTTGACACGTCACCGGAGATGCTGGAGAATAACTGTATCGTTAAACCTGTTCTCTGCAGACTCTTAATGAGCAGGAGCGTCCTCAGAACTGTGTTTGGCTCCACATGAGTAAACCTGAGTGTGTGAAGCCTCTTCTGACCCCGATGACTCCAGATGAACTCTTCTCTGATTGGACGCCGCGCTCCCGTGCTTCGCCTAATTGTCCGAGACCTTGATGGTTTTGTTTGACGGAGAGGCATTTGAATCTCTTCGGGCCACTCTCGCTCTCCTCAGATTGATGTGAGGCTTTACGAGTGAAGGCCGTGGTTGTGTTTGCTTCAGATGTGTTTCGCGCATCGATTGTTCACTTTCTTTTGTAGATTGATTTAAGGAGGTTCGCTTGTCTTCATCAATACTCCACATGTATTGACGCTGCTGAATAAAATGAGATAACATAAAAGCACAATATCGATGGGGATTGCTGTATATGAGGAAGATGGGAACAAATAACATCCTTAGATGGAGAAGTGTGTGTCACGTTTACAGGATCCTGTTTACTTCAATTGACACTTGTGATGGGATGGATCCTGGTGATTTGGGTTTTACAAATGAAATATTGATTCGCTGGTGTCATAGATGAAAATATGTGTTGATGATTTGTGATGCTTACACACGAACTGATCTGTTTCCGCAGCTGTTCCTGTTCCAGTTATTGAGGGGTCTGTCTTACATCCATCAGCGCTACATCCTTCACCGAGACCTGAAGCCACAGAACCTGCTCATCAGCGACACAGGCGAGCTCAAACTGGCCGACTTCGGTAAGAAATCCCCCGCTGTACAACGTTTGACATTTCATACAGTTGATTGGTGATGAACATAAAGCAGGGCAACAACTCACTGTGTGATGAAGCCTGTAGAATGCAATTAGAAATACCCTCAAATTCAAGATATCAGGGCAAAAATGCTCCTATACGATTGTGTGTGAATATGTATATGAAAAATTATATTTAATAGATAAGACTCTATGTATTTATTTATTTGTGTATTGATATTCAATATAAAAAAAATTCAGAAAAAAACGAATTATATTTAATTTGATAAATCAAATTACTGATAAATAAATATTAATATCTAATAAATAAATAACCATATAATAATATTTTAATATTCTGTTTATTTGTTCATTGTGTAATTTTAGTCTTGTATATCAATATTTCTGTCAGAGATAGTTTTAAACTGATAAACAATTTATATTTAATTTAAATCAAACAAATAAAGTATTAATATTTAATAAATAAATCATATTGAAATGTATTTATGTGAATGAGATCCATTGTCTTTGTGAACCACCAAAATCGTTTGTCGTTTTTTTTAACCACATTTCAGACGTTTCAAGTGAATAATACATAATTCATACGGTAGTGTCATTAAACGTGTATTTTGTTGTGATTTGAACATGTTGTTACGGTCTTTCTGCTCTTCCTGGATAATACGTCATTTACATAATAGGTGCATATCAATCTTTTCATTGCGGCTGTCTTGACAGTTTATGTCCAGATTGCGGTTACAGTACAGAATGATTCACTACTACAGATAATGTACAACGACTGGTATTAATGCTTTATTCTTTAATTTAGTGTCAGTTTGGTACCATAGTACCTGTGCTGGTGATGTCGTGCGCGTGTGCGCGTGTGCGCGTGTGTGCGTGTGTGTGTGTGTGTGTGTGTGTGTGTGTGTGTGTGTGTGTGTGTGTGTGTGTGTGTGTGTGTGTGTGTGTCTAACCCCTCCTTGTCGTGGCACCATATGCCCAGTCTCGTTTCCCGATGGCATTATGGGTAGAGCACTGCTTCGACTGCTTTGATAGCTAACAGGCCTGTTGTGAGTGTGAAGAGACAGAAGACACACACCCCGCAGAAGAGCGAGTCGTGAGAAGAGATTGAGCTGGAACAGAAGTATGGAGACATGCTGACCTGTGACTGATAGTTTTACTGCTTATAGTTCTGTTCACCTTCAAAATCACACCAAAAGTACTCCCATAAAGCAGTGCGTCTCCCTATTCTCTCAAACCACTTGGAATCATTTGCATTAAACTTATTGCAAAAATATTTTAATTAAAAAAAGTATATACAGTATATGAAATAAAACATTTTTTATAAAATTCAATATGTGTTTATTAAGATTAATTTTTTTTATTAGTTTTATTTAATGAGTTTGTTTATTATACCGGTACTAGTTTCAGTAATGTTTGTATTTATTAAATATAATTTTTTTAATGATTTTAAATGGAATATTTTGCAATAAACATAAAATACTGTATGTGTGTGTATATATATATATATATATATATACACACACACAATATGTTGTTTATTGTAAAATATTCCATTTAAAATCATATATACAGTATTAAAATATGTTAAGTTTATTACAATATATACACACTATTTTATGTTTATTGCAAAATATTATATATATATATATATATTTAGTATTCATTTATTTAATATTTTAAAATACAATTTTGTAATATTGTATAATATTTTATATATATATAATCAATACACAATACACAAATAAATAAATACATATAGTCTTATATATATATATATTATACTACCTACAATATAAAATATATTGTATTATATTACAATATTTTATATATACATTGTTTTGTGATTGCATTATTTACAGTGCTTAATTGGATGAGCTGCTCATTCCCTCAATTTAAGGACACTTTTTCCTCCTAATTAAAATTTTCTTGCTTCAAATCAAATATTGGAGATTTAAGGACGTTTTTACAACCTAATGGAGAACATGAACAGGAGAAATACTTCAATAACCAAAGCTGCGTGTCACTGCTGGGCTCTTTTGTAGGAAGTAAAACTCCTGACAGGATTCTGAGAGAAACGGAGGATGAACAATCGTGACAAAAGCTGGTCAGGAGGTGAATAGCAATCATTCGCAACAAAGCAAAATGTGAACGAACGAAAGAAAAGGGAAGTATGGCGAGACAGACAGACAGCTTGACCAGCAGATTGCTCCTCAGATTCCTGGTGGGACGTTGTTCCTTCCGCTCAATTAGGGCCGGAGTGATTCAAGCGGGAGTCTCAGCCCTGCCAAAAGCAGTGTATTTCTGGTGTCTCCGTGTCCTCAAACAGCTGGCGAGAGGCGTTTGGACCGGCGGGCCGCAGCATATGGTCCCTCTCTCCGCCCGGGCGCTCGCGTGCGGCTCTCCCGGTGTCCTCAGCGGGGTCATCAGGGGCCGATCTGTCACCGCCGCCCCTCCTGTCCTCCACAAGTGTGCAGCAACATTATAAGACTTCATCATCTGCAGGGAAAGATGAGATGTGTGGTCACTGTAGATGCTAGAAGATTTCCATAAAATGCCTTCTTTCAGACTAGTGGAAAGAAAACATCCAAAACACATTTAAGGATTTTTTTTATTGCGCTTTATCTATTTGCGTCTGTAGATTTCGATGACAACACATATCTTTAAAGATTGTGAGTTTTTTTTCTCTCCTGCACGGAGTCAGAAATCTCCACTTCAACAGCTTTACATACTCCAAACTTTACAGTTTTATTCATATCTATGTTCTGAAGGCTTGGTCATACATCATTCGCCTGATTTATGTAAGCTTTTATTCCTAAAACCATGGTGAAAATGTATTTACTTTCTGTCGGTTGACAGTATTTTCTGATTTATGGAGTGATAAAAAAGGTATGTTGAACAAAATCAAACAAGAATTTTGATCCTGACTTTATTCTATTCTCATATTTCTGTTCTGGGAATGTGTGCAAATTATATTTAATTAGATAATTCCCGTTTACATATTTAAACAACATTTCATATAATTAAATATATTTAAAAAAATTAATTAAGTTTATTGCAAAATATTTAAAGTAGGGTGTGAGTTTTAGGCAGTGTAATAATTTTTTTATATATATTTTGGCATATATAATCAATTTTACTTTTTTGTTTTCAAATTAAATCAAAGACTAATTTTAGATGAAAGAAAAAGTTATTACCGGTCTTAAAGTAAAATAAATAAATAGATGACTAACTATAATATTACAATAGTCCAAGTAGTTTAAGCAACAGCAATTTTACAACATTTATTTTTCACTAAAGATACATTATTTCAATTTTATTGCAAAATATTGCGAGTAGTTTAAGTGTGTAGGGTGAAGCAGTGCTTTATGGGAACACTGCTGAGCGCTTTCGCTGTGATTTCAGTTTCCAACTCATGTACCATTTTTGGAAGCGTTTAAACCGGTGTCTTCCACATGAGCACAGCAGAGTCGACACACTGTTTGCAGGACCGTGTTTCACACCCTCCCGTGTGTGTTTGTGATGGACTGAACATCTGCTGACTGCAGTCGAGCGAGAGTTGTGTCTGAGTTCAGGAATCCACTGGTTCCCTCGCGTGCCGCTGGTGGGATATGAGGTACAGGGGAGCAGATGTGCTCCAGTCAGACCCTACAGAGACTGAGCTAGATCTGCTGTGCTGAAGGTGTTGAAGCTGTTGAAGCTGTGCTGGCCCGCGAGGACCAGACAAGAGGAGGATGCGAGGAGCTGCGGGAAAATCAAAAGATAATTGTTACTTTTACCTCAAAATTATATATTTTTTCTCACAATTGCAATCTTTTCCCCTCCCGATTCTGAGTTTATATCTTACGATTTAGATTTTATTCTCTAATTGCCAGTTAATATCTTGCCATTTTGATTTTGATTTTCTTTTCAGAATTCTCGCAATTTTCAGTCAGAAATCTCCACTTCAGCAGCTTTAAATACACCACACCATAGTTTTGTTTGCAATTTTCACTTTTTTCCCCTCATAATTCTGAATCTAAATCGCAATTCTAACTTTTTTTCTCGTAATTTTGAGTTTATATCTTACCATTTTGACATATCTCACAATTCTGACTTTTTTTCCTCACAATTCGCCTTTGGCTAAGCCACACCCCTAGAATGTAGATTGACCAATCACAGCGCAGCCAAGAACGAGCTCCCACAGTGGTCCGACACTTTTTCACAGCGCTCCATTGACTTTAACACAGGCGTCTCATATTTTTGGTCTCGGCAGGCTATTACCGTCGTAGTTTTATCAAAAATATGGTTAAACGTTGTGCCTGGGGCATTTGTAACAGATACGCGTTTTCCAGAGAGGTTGGAGGGGGGTGTCCGTTTTTTTCCCTTCCCAAACCGAAGTCAAATCCTGACAAGTGTCGTCTAGCACACGCTGCTAATAAATACAACGTTATGCGTAGTCCGTTTGCTTTGTAATAACGATTATAGAAGTGAATAGAGACCTACCCAGCTTTGCATGAACAGTGTTGCTCCGTGATATTGTTAGTCCCAGCCTCCGTCTCGATTAGTAGGATATGCGGTGGTTCATTTTTTGACTGTGACCGGTATGCTTTTGCCTCTATTTGGATGCCTTGTTGTTCCTTGCGTTTCACATGTATGTCGTGAATATAGCCTTCGAACGTATATTGCTGCCCCTTTTGCCTACTTCTATCGGACACTTTATATGCTGCTTTATAAAAGTTTGATAAAATTTCAGCAGGAAGAGCTGTCACAGCATAAGCCATGTTGATACCAGAGCATTACCAGAGCCCAGATGAAGTTTGTTTGTCGGACGTAGCAACAGTAACTAAGGGGGGCGGGGCTTAGCCAAAGGCGAATTCTGAGTTTATATTGAAAAAAAATCTGAATTGTCAGAATTGTGAGGAAAATCATCGCAATTACCTTTCTTATTTTTTTATACCGTGTTGGAACCAAGCTTCCATAAGGAGCCGTGAGCTTTAGTTTGATCTCAGACGTTCTTTCTTGTGCTGTATGAATAAGTGTATGTTAGTCCTGCTGATGGTATACTGTATGCTTAAGATGGGCCTAATGGGAATTGTGAATCCTCCAAAAGCAAAGCATATCTTTTGCAGCTTTCTTGCTGAGCTCCATCATTTAATCCTTCTTCAGAGGGGTTTTATACTCGTCCCTCTGGAATTAACACAGGACTCTCTCATATATATATATAAAGATGCATCTCTTTCGCCAACATTTGACTCCATAATACTAACACTTACAATTCTATATCTATTAAATAAAAAATCCCAGCTAGACCTACAGTAACTGGTCTAGCTGAGACTGGTCACGACATTTGCCTATTGTTGATTTGACTGCTTCAATTGTTCTCTTCATTTGTAAATTTCTTTGGATTAAAGCGTCTGCTAAATGATTAAATGTAAATTTTAATACATACACACACTATATATATATATATATATATATATGCATGTGTACATGTATGAAGTTTTGTAAAGAACTATATAAACAGCTTTATTTTTAAGGATGTATTGATTGAGTGTATTCAGCAGATGTATCGAAACATGGTGATGTGTATGTGGCACACTAAAGCACACACAATCGCATCTCCAGGTTATTTTGATGAAGCAGGTATTGACATGCATCCATTCTGACGGCTAATTCACTTCATTAACATCTTGATAAAGGAGTTAATCAATTTTGCATATGAAAATGGTGACGCTAATGTGCAGCGTCTGTCATCAGCACTGGGTTCGATCACCGCACAGAAATTACCAGCCAAACTATCTGTAATTGCAACCCAGAAATGTGTGAAAATAACGACACTGTAATGAAACTCCTCCCGATCATCTCTGCCACAGCGGACATGTGACACCTGGAGGTATTGAATATGCCTTTATTGCATTTTTCATATTTTGATCATAGTCTACTCTGCATTGATGGATGTGTAGATGAGACGGACGTTTAATCAAACGGTGTGTTTAGATCGACTCACCCACTTATGTATGCGGTGTGTGTTTGTTGTAGTGGAGGAAATCCCTGTTCATTTAGATATGTGTGTGTGTATTTGACTGACTGCTGAATTTCAAGGCAAGGTCTAAACTAAAATAGAGCTTATTTGTTTATAATGTATAGAGCTTTTAGTTTGACGGGTTTTGGACAAATAAAAAGCACAGTGTTCATTTGACTCTTCACCTCACTCTGAAACTGGTAGTGCAGATATTTATTTAATCAAGATATTCTGATTTTATTTCGATAAATTGTGCACCGAAGTTCTAGTTCTAATATCATGGTAGTTGTATATTTTATATATGTTAATGTATGATGATAGTATGTTTTAAAATATTTGTATGCTTTCCTATATGTTAGTAGTATAGCATAGTTGTATATTTATGATATTATATTTTTATGTTAAAATATGATAGCATTTTATTTATTTTTATGATATATTGTTTTTGTATATTTTTATGTACGTATGTTGATATATTGTGATAGTTGTCTAATTGTATTATATTATGTTTTTGTGTGTATGTGTATATATATATTAAAATATATACATATTAAAATATCTTGATTAGTTGTATATTATACTGTATCGCGAAGTACTTGCGTGTAGTTCACTCTGAAACCGGTCGCAAAAACCGAAAGGTTGATTCGACAGTTACATTAAGCCATATCACGGTTTTATTTCGAAATCTCGTGCAGCCCTAATTCCTCCTAAATTTTTTTCCAAACCTTCATAACTCCTCCTAATTTTTCCCTCTCTTTGTTCTTTCTTATCTCTTCTGGTTGTCTCCTCATCTCTTTCTGTCCTTCATGTCACTCACTCTGGGACAGTGAGTGATGTATAATTTACTCAGCTTGACCCTCGACCCCCTCCGGAGACCCTCAGAGTTCCTGAGCGGCAGGCGGGCGGCGAGCGCTTTGAACCGGCGGACACTGAGGCCTTCATTACGTGACGCTCCCTCGATCTCCTTCAGCCGGCGTTCATAGTTAATGTCAGCTCGCCCGCTGCGTTGCCATGACGACCGCCTCAGGACCAGGAAAGGACGTCCTCCCTCCTCCTCGATTGCCTTCATCATCTCTGACCTCTCATCCGCTCCTCCTCATTTTCTCGCTCTCCCATCAATTATAGGCTCAGATGCGGGTTGCGCTGCCACCCGGGTGACTATTACTCTCCAGTTTAGTGTAATGATGATTAGAGGCTCCGTCGGTGTGTTAACCTAAATCACAGCCTCTCTTTCTCTCTGACGCAGCCCTTTGTTTAGCTGCAGGATTATTGACTGCAAATTATACTGGCGTGAAGCCTTTGCTGTTATTTCCATCCCGCTTTAAACGCCCCCTCGCCGAGCAGCTCCAAATACAGGAAGTCAAGTGTGTTTAAGGGAAACGGGTTAATTAAAGCACGCCTCGGCTCTCCTGTGAGCTGGAAGAGCTGAGATCTCAGTGAGCTGTGCGTTTGTAAACTTCTGTCTCCTAAGTGATGATCATGTGTGTGTGTTTTCTGCAGGTCTGGCTCGTGCGAAGTCGGTCCCCAGCCACACGTACTCTAATGAGGTGGTGACTCTCTGGTATCGTCCTCCAGACGTGCTGCTCGGCTCCACTGACTACTCCACCTGTCTGGACATGTGGTGAGAGCTCTGATCACATCACAGTCACAACATCCCCACATCCTTCCAGTTACTGTAATTATTTGTGAAATTGAAACGATTTTCTCTTTTTAGTGCTAGTAAAAGTAAATTCTACAGCTATTATTTTCTAGAGTATTTTTTTTCTCCCCACTTGAGTTTTATAGGCCACATTCCTGCTATTTTTCAGTATGACAAAAAAAAGAATTATGATTTAGTGTGATGATTACGTAAAAATATTAAACAAAATAAGAAATAATATTGTACCATATAAAATAAAGAATCTAGTAATAAAAATAATTTTACTTTAGTGTAAAATTTCAATACTAATATTTCTTCATTTTCAAACATGTAACCCATCAAGCTTTTATTTTATTATTGTATATTTATTTAAGTCCCAGCCTGCATGTTTAGACAATAGTCATATCGCAGTATTGAGTTTATTTCAAAATATTGTGCATTCCTTTATTCTTTCCTTCCTTTTCGAAGTTGCCTTCTCATCTATTTCTATATTTTTTTGTATATTTTTTATGATATATTTCTATATTTTTATACATGTTAAAATATCATAATAGATATTTTTATATTATACTTGTATACTTTTATATAATATTATTATTATACTATGGGGCTGTTAAATGCTTGAATCTGATTGGTTGACGAACGTTCTAAGCTGTGCAATTATATTCAGGGAAACGCATGGCTAAAGTAGTTCCAGGCAGATCTTCTTGACCGCATTACAGTTCCACATCACTTCGCCAAACGATTTCAGTTATTTCAAAGGTCACTACAGCCGACAACAGCAAAAGAACCAAAACCCACAATGACACTGACCAAGCTAATAAATATAGTAACAATAGCATAGAAAGACAAGTTGATAGTTAAACAACTTAAAAGCTACATGACATTTCTCACTAGCGAGGTAATAACGGCGCTGTTCTTGGAGAAGATGAACGTACAGTTTCGCTATTAGTAGAGACGCTGCCGAACACTGTTGAGAGACTCACAGACTCAGGTAATTCATACTCTGTTCAATTCAAGGTAATTCAAGCTCAGTTAGAACTTCAGCAGATCGTCTTGACCATGTCTACATGCCTAAACGCATTGAGTTTCTGCCATGTGATTGGCTGATTAGTAACTAGCAGTTGAACAGGTGTACCTACTACTAAGTGGCCAGTGAGTGTATGTTATATATTATATATATATTTTTATATTTGATAGTTGCATTTTTTCTGATGATATATTTGTATATTTTCACAACTATAGGCTATGCTCTTTCCATTCTTTTTATGACAGAAGATCTCTTCTACTTCTCTTTGTGTCTTTAGACTGTTTAGTTGTTGTTTTTCTTATCATCTCATCTCTCTCCTCCTCATAACCCTTTCTGCCCCGTGTGTGAATCGATGCTGAGAGCAGTGGAGCGTGTGCAGTTTTCCTCTCTGAGTGGCAGTTACACAGCGGCTGCACAAATCAACAGTCATTAGAATCAAAGCCAAACTGTGTGTGTGTGTGTGTGTGTGTGTGTTTGTGTGTGTGTGTGTGTGCGCGTGTGTCGCATTGGTCCAGCTCCGTCCCAGTCCAGCAGACCTTTCACACTCGTGCTTTCGTGTCTCAGCAAGTGGATGAGAAAAATGTCACTCAAATGTCACAAAAATGTCACGTTATCTTGAAAGTGAAAGTGATATCCTCTTGGTTATTGAGTTTAAATTATATCCTGAAATATAATATAAGGTATATTTTAGAGGGGGGAAATCTTGTATAAGTGTGAAATGATGTGGATTTGCAATTTCAGTCTGGTGCTACTGAGAGTATGATAACGCTAGAATAATAATCAATAATGTAATGAAACTTAGCATGGAGATGCACGGATATGGTCCCGGATAAAATCTGTCATATGTCAAAATTTGCATAAGGAATTAAAATCATAAATCATATTCAAATAAGGCAAGAATCAAATCTTAATTTAGAACTCAGCTTCCTGCAGTGAATAGTAATGTGCTAACAACCACTCGCATTAACAAACAGATTACATGTAAATGTTATAGATTAAATGCACATTATTTATTTGATGTAACTGTGATGTTGTATCAACAGACTGTCATTAACTATAAGGGAAGATAGCAGATGAGAAAAGAGTACAAATGTAAACTAATAGATCTCTACACTTTTTCCCAATTAATTGATCACAGTACATTAAGACATTTAATGTTATGTTTAAATATGCAAATGAGGCATTATACAATTAAAAATGCACACATGTGGATACAGAAATCTGAACATTGAATAAAGCCAGGTTAAAGATGCATTTGGTGTATGTAAAGCTGCTGAAGTGGAGATTTCTGACTCGCCTTTAAAGATAGACATTGTCATTAAAATCTACAAACATAAATGGATAAAGTGCATTAAAATAAACACGTAAATGTGTATTTTGGATGTTGTCTCTCCACTAGTCACTAGAAACAACACATTATGAAAAGCCAAACAGTCCAAAATGTCAAAATTGACCATTGCATGAAAAAACCCCACAATGGTTTTGGCTGTAGTGTCTTGCCTTAAAGGTAGGGTAGGCAATTCTGAAGAGGCTAGCAATAGCAAGCTTGTTTTGAAAGCATGAGATCACACCCTCCCTTTAGAGCGTCTCCAAAGCCACGCCTCCTTCAAAACACATGAACGCGTACAGCGGAGTCTGCAAAGCGTCACGAGACGGCATTAAACTACCTCATGTCTCAAAGCACATACCTTTACAATAATAATAAACGTAAACAACTTAAAGAGCTCTTACTTGTACCACCTGACTGCTGCATAATCATTTCGCCGTTGATAGTGTTGACATAGAAATGCATAAATCCTGCTTAGTGTAGAAAGTCACGGGTTTCCATATTGTAATTACGGTTACGACATGGAGTGAACGCAGCATAACGCCGGGTTCACACCGGACGCTGAAGCGGCGCGGAACGGAGGCCGCTTCCTTTCGGCGCCCATGTTAACCTATGGTGTCGTTCACACCCGCCGCAGCGCGGCGCAGCCGGCACGCGCCGTGAAGCGCCAGTTTCGGCGTCTGGTCTATTTTTTTCGCGAGGCGCGAGTGATCCGCGTCAATTCCGGCAGGAAGTTACACCAAGAAACACTCGACCATCCGGTCAATTGTCAAAATATAAGCAATTTTCTAATTAAAATACCCTATAATACCCTATAATCAAAATATATAGGGCAAGGGCTCTCCTCCTGTCTACTCGCACTGGGAAACAGGAAGAGGAAAATAGATTTAATAAATTTGAAGAGAGGATGTATATTTCAACGGTATATATACACTACTATAACTGTCTACCATATTCTCTCTCTGGCTGTGTGTTTAATAAAAGAAGTGTACAAACTTCTTGGTTACAGAAACATGGTGTATTTATATTATGAGGTTATTTACTTACCCATGATGTAAAAAAATAGCTCTGAATAAACAACAACTGAGCAGAAGCGCTTGTCGACGTCCGCGAAGAATACGCGTCAGGTGTGAACAGGCAGGCGCCGGACTGCGCGTGATTTTCCGTTCCGCGTCGCTTCAGCTACCGGTGTGAACCCGGCGTAAGCTTGTTGTTTTGGTTCAGGAGGAACTGTAAAAGGCGGCTGATTGGTACGCGGAGTAATGGAAATGCATATGTTGACAGGCAGGTAGGACATCGGACCGAATGCAACGATTAAACGTACATATATTTTCTGTGGAAGTCTCAGGACCAAAAAAAAAATTCATGTTTTAATATTTAGACCTCTTCTGTTATTGATTGCCATCAGGATGAGTTTCAACCAGTATAACGAAAAGTGCTTATAAAACAATTTGCCTACTCTACCTTTAAATAAAGATTTGGAGTAATTGGCCCGTATTTTCGGTGTTGGTCCAGGGGTCTGCCGGTCTAAAGAGGTGGGAGGAGCTGCTGTCCTGAGAAATGAGCCGTGACCCGAGCCGTTCTCGGGACCGCAGCTGCAGACTCCACTGGCAATTAAGAGGGAAACTGGAGCAGGTGGTCCGATCTGAAGGGCACTTTTCCACATGGCTGCAGGTACACGCGCATGTGCGGGAGGGTTTTCCTGTCACCCGTTCATGTCGCGGCTCAGTCAGGATGAGGATTAGCACGAGGTCGTCTCCGCCCGACTGCGAGGCATCACGTCTATAAGCTGACATCTTATCAGCCGCCTGCCAGTCAGCTCAAACCGCTCGAGATAAACCGATATCACAACCACATTTTAAACCCGAGTGTGTTGAGGTGAGGGGTCTGACTGGATCTGGAGACGGATAGGCTGATTCTTAAAAGGCCGGTTGAGTTTTACATCTCACTGCTGTGCTGGCGAGTTTGGTTTGTGTGGCTCTGTCCCAGTTTCTGTCAGGGAAGGATGTGACCGTGTGCACTGGGCTAGAAAGTGTCAGGAAACAATCGCTTGCTGACGAATGGAGCCCGACAGCCGCTGAAACACACCAGCATGTGCCACACGCTCACTGCCTGTCATGGCCTTACTGAAGATCTACACATATACACACTATTTAAAGCTCGGCAACTCTAGAATAAAAAAAAGTAAAATATTTTTCCCATTACATCATTGTAATTGTCTCTCAGTGAGCAGGATGATGGATGGCTTTAATGTTGCTTTATCATAATGCTATATAATTTAATGATATAGTAGCATGTGAAATAGCCTACACACTATGTTTGCCTCTTTATTTTATTTTACACAAAATTCACTCCAATATTGGTAAAGATCATTCCAAGTAGTTGGCCAAGTAGAAAAAAAACACTGATAATAATCACAATATAGTCAAATATTGAAAAATGTTTCATCCTTGCCAAATAATTTCATTCTCTGCTCTCAGCTTTGTGTTTTGTTCTATTTTTAGTTCTCTTCCTTTTAATGTTTAATTTCTTTCTTTCTTTCCTAAAATACATTAAACAAAAACAATCAAACATTTAATAAAAAGATGAAATAGTTTATTAGATCAGATGCATGCATGTGACCGACATCAGAGAATTGTGAACATGTGAATGTGTTGTTAAATGACTTAACTTAAAGTCTCAGCGGGGCTTCAAGTAAATATTTTAGCTCAAAGGGGTTCGGCTCTCAATTTTTTCTGAAGGTTTAATCTCACTGAGACAGAAATCATTATAAACAATTACTGTAACAGAACAATCATCATTTCTGTCACCTCAGATGTTTCCAGCCTCTTCTTGCCAGGTTCCTGATTGTGATGTCCAATCCCAGGCCCTGTTTACACCTGGTATTAAGAAGCGGTTTTGTCAATCACAAGTGGGCGACGCTAAATTTAGGTGTCAAAAATGTTTTGAGCTTGTCCGCTTCCAGAGGTATTTGAAAACGCATTTGACCGGATTGCTGTCGTAGTGTAAAACGCTCACGTGGACAAACAGCCACAAAAGACTGTCTTCTCTCCGCCTACTGACCTAATTTAAATCATATCCTGAAATATAATATAAGGTATATTTTAGAGGGGGGTAATCTTGTATAAGTGTGAAATTATGTGGATTTGCAATTTCAGTCTGGTGCTACTGAGAGTATGATAACGCCTGAATTTAAGCTTTGCCGGCTGAAAATCCTAGTTTTGTTTGAAGACGAAATACATACCAAGCACAATGTTCTCTCACCATGCCTGATTCTTGCGGCTGTCAGAGCAGAAACCAAAGCGGATGCTTTTCCTTCATCTCCGGTCACTCCGGTCACATTCATATGTAAATTGCGTGAGCTTATTTCATCCATTAGATCGAAAGATCTGAAAAAGTCCATACATTTACCCACCCATAGACACCTCCCTTGAGGAAATCAGGACAGAAGTGGTAGAAAATGGATAAAAGAGATGGATTAAAACACCAGATGTAAACGGGTATGTGTCTCTCGTCTACTTGTGATCCGATCGACCAAAACGCTCAATACCAGGTGTAATCAGGGCCTCAGCTTCAGTTTTATAAGGCATAGTGTTAATGATGTTTGTTTTTCAGGGGTGTTGGATGCATCTTCGTGGAAATGATCCAGGGAGTGCCGGCATTCCCGGGCATGAAGGACATTCAGGATCAGCTGGAGAGGATATTCCTGGTAAGTGTCTCCTTTTGTCTCCATTCTGCTTGTCTCTGTGTAGTGCCTTGGGTGCTGGCTGAAGAAAAAATGTCCATGAATACAAAGATATGGCATGATACATGTATGTAGACACATATACAAACTCTGGGAAGGTCATGCATATTTCATCTCATGAATTCTCTAATCATTTCTACTGTCATTTCCCATAATGTCCCACTCTGATAATTGAACTAGAGAGTAATGGTTAGACACACTAAATTCATATTCACCCTCCGAGTCAGGTAAATAATTCATACAGACAATTACTGAGATGAATAGAGCGGGAGGCCAGGGGTTCATGGGTAAGACAGACGCCCGTAGGCTGTGAGGGTCAGCGGCCAAATATATTTACACTGGGGAATGACAGAACGAGGGAAAACTGGCTCCACCGATCGACCCGCCGCAGAGAAATTCAGCAGCCGTCTGCTCATGTGAGTGAAAACAAAGACACATCAGAGTCTCTTTTGTTTGAGTGTACAGGACGACACACTAAAGGCTTACCTGTTTAAGTCAAGTCAACTTTATTTATAAAGCGCTGTATGCATTACAGACTGTTTCAAAGCAGCTTTACAGTGATAAACAGGAAAATTATGCATCAGTTATGCATCACTGAATCAGTGTTGATTCAGTTCCGTTGTAAAGATCACCATTTATTATATCATTTTGATAATTTTATCGATACAGCAGTTCTGCATCGTCCAGCTCAGTTCAGTTCTCATACAACAGCGTCAGATCATCAATAATATTGTTGAAGATTAAGTGTCCCCATTAACAGTAATTTAAGGAATAGTTATATATTCCTTATTTCCCTGTGTTCTTTTGAATATAGAACATGTATGAAAAAGATCTAATTTAGGTGCCAGTAATGACTTTTATTTTATTTTTCTGACTTTTTTGCATTCATTTAAGAGTGCTGAACACAAAGCAGAAGTCTAGAAGTTCTCTGTCCTTGAATGAAGGACGTCTTAGTTCAGAAATGCTGATGGTTTATTTGGACCCGTCACAATCCCCCCCTTCATCTAATTAGGTGTTGGCTGGTGCTTTTCGTTTGTTTTCTCCGTCAGGTGGGCACTTGATAAATATGGAGCGGTGGAGGGAGTCTGGCAGCTCGATCGTTGGCTCGTAACTGTTCTCTGACACTGACATTTTCATTCCTCCCTTGTTTTCACATTCCTCCTTCCTGTCAGTCTGGCCAGCATCATATCTGACCCTTTTTTCAGAGATTATTCTTCATTACTGCCTTCCAAAGGCCAGACTCCTTTATCCTGTGAGTAAAAGAGGAGCCAGCGCTTGTGACCTTCTCATTGACATTCTGGTTCCAGAGAGAGATTCTGGTATTTAGAGTCAGACAAAGCTGAAGAATCACTGGATACTCACTGTCATTTTTTTTACTGCTATTTGATTTTAAAAAAAATGATGGTAACAATATCTGAAACGCAAGTATCAACGCAAGTAACAAACGCGATCTGAAACGCAAGTATCAAACGCGAAACGCAAGTAACTTTGTGGGCGGATCTCCGACGCAAATCTAAAATGGGTTGGTCTGAAGTCGCTACATTACTCATAGGTGTGGTTTGGGCGTAACGTGCAATAAACCAATCAGAGCGTCATCTCACATTCCCTTTAAGAGCAGGCGCGCTTGTTCCATGGTGGATTGCTATTATAATGGTGGATTTTCGTCAGGGTCGTAAAAGAGTGAAAAGTGACATTGTATGGGGACGGGAGAAACCCAGCCAAATTAGCTTCGGTTAAACAGGCGTATAATAATTTGGGTAAATGTGTAAGCTAGATTTATGAATGATGCATGCGTCGGTATACAAAGTCAATTGCGCTGGGTGTTTTTGAGTAGTTAAGGCTTGATTTCTTTCATGGAATCTACCTGAATAAATAATGTAAAATCCCCTTATTTAGTCTATTATACAATGAATTTAATATTTTTAGTGAAATATTCTTTTTTATTTTAAGTTGACTCTCAAAAGTGTGTGAATTACAGTGAATGGAAATAACCTGTTTATATTTGACTTTGAGTTATATTGCATTATTAAAAGACTGTATGCCGCTAGCACAGCACACAGAACCAAACTTGTTACTGCACTAGCATTATAGCAAAGTTTTTGCTCAACGTAAAAAAGCAACATGCTTCAGAGTATCAATACATGCAGTTATTCACAACCTAACTATAAGCCCTACTCTTCTGCACAATCGTTATGATCAAAACTTTAACATAATACAAACTCTTTCAAACGTCAAACATAACTGAACATTAAACATTAACAGATGTTCCCCTTTACTCAAAAACGCATAAAATAACACTTAATTTCAATATTTCCTCTCCATTACTAGCCATGTGCAAAGCATGCTGGGAACTAACAATGGTGTCTCTAAATAAAACCGCATAATTGAGCTAATTGTCATAAAATAAATAGGTAGCCTTTTTTCCTTCATTTTATCAGCTTAATCGGTTCCTCAATTCAAGCCTCAAAATTGTGTATGTTTCCTTAAAATATATTTCTCTTGGTTTTATTAGTGAAATGTTCTCAATATTTTCTATACAACACTGAACCACAATTTTCTTAATAAAATATACACAATATTTTTAATTATCACCTTCATTTTTTGAATGAAAATTACAAGACCCATGATTCATTTTTTACAGCGCTGTTGTGTTCGTGCACTCGGACCCTGTGCTTTTCATTTCACCGTTACTTGTCTGTTTTCAGCTGGAGATAAACTCGCTGATAGTCAAGGTTAATTATACACTTTATGCTTAGGATGCATTTTGAATCCCATCATGCAGAGCTGCCATATGTGAGAGGAGCCAAATCTGAGAGTGAATATTCTCTCTGTGAATATTTGTGTTGCTCTTTACTGTGGTTGAATCTCTGATTATGTTGATATGGGTTTAAGATATGAGGATGAAGAACTAGAATATGCCAGAATATAGAGTTCTCCAGTTGGCTGCATTTATTTGATCAAAAATACAGTAAAAACAGTAATATTGTGAAATATTATTGCAATTTAAAATAACTGTTTTTTATTGTAATATAAGGTAAAATGTCATTTATTCCTGTGATCAAAGCTGAATTTTCAGCATCATTACTCCAGTCTTCAGTGTCACATGATCCTTCAGAAATCATTCTGACATGATGATTTGCTGCTCAATCATTAATTCTTTCTTATTATTATCAATGTTGAAAAACGTTTTTGCTGCTTAATATTTTTGTGGAAACTGTGACCTTTTTTTTACAGGATTCTTTGATGAATAGAAAGTTCAAAAGAACAGCATTGATTTGAAATATAAATCTTTTGTAACATTTATATATGTTTTTGTCACTTTAATCAATTTAATGCGTCCTTGTTGAAAGAAAGTATTCATGTCTAAAAAATTTTTTATTTAATTTTTACTTTTTTACCCCAAACTTTTGAAAGGCAGTGTATCATATTTTCCAAAAAAATATGAAGCAGCAAAACTGTTCAACATTGATAATAATCCGAAATGTTTCTTGAGCAGCAAATCATCATATTAGAGTGATTTCTGAAGACTGGAGTAATGATGCTGAAAATTCAGCTTTGATCACACGAATAAATTATATTTTAAAATACATTACAATAATAATTCACAATATTGTTGTTTTTAATGTATTTTTTTCATCAAATTAATGCACCGTTGGTGAGCACAATAAACATTCGAAAATCTTAATACATAATAATTTATTTTACATAATAAAAAAAATTTGGGTGATCAATTCCTTTTTTTATTTAATCATTTTTTTACTATACATTTGTTCTAGTATTTTGTTCTAGATTTTTAGAATTTATTTGTGCGTTTTTCTTTTTATATTAGATCCTTCATTTTTCGAGTGTGTGAGTGGGATGCAGGTAGTTTCTTCTGTAAGTGTGTGTGATATATTAAAGAAGACAGACGGGACCGGCCGTGTTTAACTAGCTGTCATCCAGCAGGAGATTAGCTTTGCAGCGTATGAATATGGACGGGTCTATCTGCAACAATTCACTCACATGTGCAGTCGTTATAGTGAGCTGTTCATCGAGTCTGTTTGACATCAGAATTAAACTGTCTCTTCTCATTACAGGATGATGACTCACACAAACACACATTTACATACAGCACATACAAAATCACACAGATTGAAGATTGAGACTTAATAGTTAGATAGTTGTGACATTGATAAGAGTTCATAGCCAAGAATGGTGTTTGATTTCAATTACTAATTTGTACATTTTTCATTTGTTCCCCAGCATTTTTTAATATTAACTTACACCCCCTTGTTAAAAATGTGATCATTTTGAATCATTGCTCATCTAATCCAGTAAATAATTCAAGTGTAATGATGAAGCACAGAGGAGCACCTTTAACTCACAGATCATTTCATCAGTCATTTCAAGTTGACCAAAAGTGATGTTACTTTATAATTTGTCCATCCATTTCCACCAGTTTGACCCATTCGAGATGATTTGTGGAGCGTTTCAGATCATAACAGACTAGCCTTATAGCTTCGGCATGATAATCAGCTAGTAAACACTGTTCATGAGACAAAAGGAACATTGTGAAACTTGATTCACTGGTGTCCTCCGTCAGCCTTTTCCTCGTGACCCAACAGAGCGTTTGAACCGTGTTCGGGTTGCTGCATGTGTCTTTCAGCACTTCAGAGATGAGTTGAGTTGACCTACATAACTTTGCGTCCAGACGCTCCTGAGATTTGATCTCTGAGAGTGAAACCGGCTCGGCCTGGCAGGGGAGATGAATTACTGCGTCTGGGTGGTCGTTGTTTTAGCTGGTCGAGGGCACGCGGCGACCTTCTGCCCAGCGGGACCGCCGGTGACAGGACAAAGAGGAAGAAACTTCACTGCCGTCGACATTTCAGGAGTGATTGACAGTCGTTTACCTGCATTTTCTATTTAAAGAAACCAGATACAAGTTCTCATGGTCACTGGCTGCACATACACTGGATTTACCAAAG